AGAGCGAGGGATCGTATTTGTGTGGAATCTGTGATAGTTTTTCTATTTGAGTGATGGTGATCGTTGAAAAAATTTCTTAAAAGGAGTATGCCATTTATTTTGCGGCGAGAGAGAGAGTTGAGCTTTTTTGGTCTTAATTTGGGCCCTTTCTAGAATATCTATTTGATTGGACCTTCGCAATGTAAAATTTATTTGGGTCATCCCAAATATTAATTGTTAATTGGGACCCGCCTTTTTTAAAGTCCTATGCAAACATTATTTAACTTGACTGCCTATTGGGCCAGCCTTGTATATATACTATTATGTATGAACCTATCATATATGACATGACATACATGTATAGATACAGGTCGACATCTTCTACACAATATAAGAAAATAAGGTGGTGGTGATTCTATCTTAAACTTGACTCTACAAAGTTCATTTTAACTCCAATGGTTATACCTCCTTTAACAATAGAGGACCTCTCTTTCTCTCTCTTTCTTTCTCCTTTTTTTTTTTTTTTTTGGGTTTAATTTGTCCGACTACTTATTTGCTTGAAAGGTGGGGACAAAATCCAACAATTTAAGGGATGCCTATAACGTGGGCAAAGGCCAGAGAATGGACTATAAGGTAGAGTTATGGGTTGTTTTAGAACTAAATTTTCAAACTACCATTTAACTGAACGCAAAATAACAATTCAAAATAAGTTTCACAATTTCATTTTTGTCAATAATTTTGCATGTAGGTTCAAATTTTGAGTCTAAAAATCAATTGTCAAATCGAAGTATTGCTTGGCTAATTTCGTTAAATAAACACCACTTCAGTTAATCACTTAAATTGATACAATTTTTTTTGCCAGTTGTGACATTACTCATTTCGTATTAGATTGGTTATCCATTTTGCACACAAGAATGTCTAATGCGCTTGGGGAGCCCGACATTAGAAAATGATTTGGTATCTCAACTAAAGATAGCATTGAGCCCTAATTTGACTTATATCATCTCTAACCCAACTTTTTAAAATAGTTAAACAAAATATATTTAAATATTACATTATTTACTTTGGCTATCTACTTTTACAAATTCATTCTAACCACACTTTTTATTTTAACTAACTACTTCATCCAACTTTCACTAACTTCCAATAATTTAAAAGGAATACAACATATATACAGAGAAATAGAGAGAATTTAGAGAGGTTAAATGACTCTCCACAATTGGGTGAAATGGAAAATAGAGAGTGAGTTGGATATGCTCTTATTAGATAGTGTACAAAGGGGTAGGAGGTAGTGGTGGCCCTAATCTTGCTATGAATTCATGACCACCAAAAAAGAAATACATCAAATATTATTCGAAAAAAACACGACATTTTGTCAATAAATATGCAGCTACTCTGTAAACTCAAAATACATTCAATTACTCGTACATTACAAATATCAAGTTAAGTTAACCAAAAAAATTGTTGTTAGATTCAAACTTAACACTTGGAAGTATCAAACACGATAACTTCCTACTATTTGAGTGATACTGTCGGTTGCTAATAGCATACATGTTGCATTAGATGATCATTGATTGTAATTGTGATCAATTGATATATAACCAAAAAAATGTTAAAAATATTAAACACATGACACTTTATTTAGGAATCAAATATTGTGACGTTAACGTGACAGTGTTCATTAAACAAAATTTTCAGATCAACATTTAATGAACACCAAGTCTAAATTAGGTCAATCTTAAAATTTTATTTTCTCAAAATTTTACACAATTCCAAGTTAATCATTCCATTTGACTTTGTTTTTTGGTTTGACATTACTCTTTTTGTGGTGGATGAGTAAGTCGTAACCCATTTTGGTCGGTAGGGCAAGCAGTCTAATACGCTTGGGGAGCAAGGCATTAGAAAATGTATTGGTTATCAAGTAAAGACAGCATTGTGCCTATTTTGACTCATTCGGCTAGTGCACAACCTGTAGGAGGAAACGGTGGCCCTATCTTTTTATGACTTCGTGATCACCAAGAAAGAAATACAATGATACATGAACCCACTATCAAAACACTTCTCCAAATAACAAGTTATATAACAAATAACAAGCTATACTCTGTGCAGCCTAATAAAAAAGAGGGATAATTACGCTTAGATTTTTTTAAGGTTTGTCACTTAATTAACCAACACATTTTGATATTTGAAAATTACACACAAACTCCTTCTTGAGGTTTGATAGTATACTAATCAATCAGATATCCAATAGATATTATAATTATATACTAATTATGATTTTTTAAGAAAAGAATTAGATTTTTATTTTAATAAATGTCATAATAGAGCATGAATTTTTATTGTAAAATTTAAAATATTTGATATTCTATCTTTAATTATAGTATTTTTGGTCTAATTATAATATTTTAAACTTAAGGGATCTAAATATTATACGTTTACAAATTTCAAGAAATTTGAGTGTAATTTACTAATATATGTACTAATAGCAAGAATCTAAGTATTACGCGCATATAAACTCCAAAGAGTCTATGTGTAATATTTTAAATATTAGAAAATTTGCATAATTGCAATTCTCTCTGAAAAAAAAATTCCCCTATTCCCAAAGGTCAAATATTGAATGGGCCCAGTAGCCAAACATTTCTTGGCTTTAGATTTTGTTGCCCTCTGAAAGTTCACTATAAATTCATTACATCTGAGTTTTATATCCTTTAAAGCTAAAAGTATAGTTTCCTCTGAAACAAGATGGATATTTTCACCTTGAGAACACTGTCTCTGTCTTCTGTTTTACTAACTCTTTGTATTGTTCTGAGAGTTTTTTATACCATCTGGTGGAGACCCAAAAGTCTCGAAAAGTTTTTAAAGAAGAAAGGAATCAGGGGCACTTCTTACAAGCTCTTTAATGGCAGCATGAGAGAGAGTCAGAGGTTGATCAAAGAAGCATGGTCCAAGCCCATGAGTTTAAACCACCAGATTGCACCTCGTGTTAACCCCTTCTTTCATCAAATGGTGCAGAAATATGGTAAAAACTCCCCCCAACAACGTCTTATGTTTAATATTAATGCTATTAACATCAATTATCGGGCTGAAATTCATGTGTGAATTGCATCTTAAATTAAAGGGCGAATTACTAACGGATACACTCTGAGGTTTGTTACTTAATAAATCAGATTCCATGACATTTAAAATATTACACATAAATCCCCAAAAATTTATACAGACATAACACTCAGTCCCTTGCCATTAGTATATCCGTTAGTAAATTATATTCAGACCCCCTGAAATTTGTAGATGTATAATATTTAAATCCCTAAAGTTTAATATATTATATTTAGATAAAAAATACACTAAGCAAAGATAGAATATCAACTCTTTTAAACTTTTACAACCAAAATTTGTATTATATTATGATATTTATTGAAATAATATTAAAATTAAAATTTTAATTTTTTAAAAAAAATCAAAATTAGTATACTATTATACTATCTATTGGAATTTAATATCCCCATTAAAACTAGAATATATTATGTTTATTACAGTTTGACTCCTTATTTGATTTTTTAGTTTTATTCTAATAGATAATATAATTGTATATTAATTATGATTTTTTAATAAAAAATTAAATATTTATTTTTGATTTTATTTCAATAAATGACATAATAGAGTATGAATTGTGGTTGTAAAATTCATGTTCTATTATGATTGACTTAGACCTCTTGTTTTTTTTTTTTTTTTTTATGTTTTATTCTAATAGATAATATAATTGTATTCTAATGATAGAAAATTTTGATTTTTGATTTTTAATTTTATTTCAATATATGATATAATAGAATATAAATTTTGGTTATAAAATTAAAATATTTAATATTTAATATTTAATTAGAGTATTTTTTGTCTAAATATAACATTTTAAATTTGAAGGGTGTAATTATTATATGTTTACAAACTTTAGGGGATTTGAGTGTAATTTATTAATATGTATACTAATACGGTAAGAGTCTATACGTTATGTACGTATAAATTTTAGGGAGTCTGTGTATAATATTTTAAATGTCAGAAGATATAAATGATTAAGTGACAAACTTAAAAAAATATAAGTATAATTCTCCTAAATTAAATGCAAAATGAGGATCGAATAGCCATGATTCGACCTCATCACCTATACTGATTTAGTGGCCAAATTCTATGTGCGGGTTTTGAGGCGGATGTTGCGGTGAAACTCACTCATGGAATTTCAACCCAACCGAGAGGAGCCGGACATGGTTAACTTGAACCAATTGAAGTAAATTCTTCTACCGCCAATGGACTTGTCTATGAATCAAATGTCAATTTAAATTCAAACCTAATTACCCGAACATAGATTTTTCTAGACAAATTTTTTGAATCCCTATTTAAATTTAGGGAAAACTTCATTTTACTCCCCTGTGGGTTAACACGATTGCACATCACCTTCTTAGGTTTTAAAATAGCGCTTAACCCCCTTGCGGTTGTTGGACTAAATGCACTACTTAACTTTGTTAACGGCAAAAGCTAAAATGACTTTAATGCCACTCTTCTCTTCTCTAGCGACCATTGATCCATCACCAAAATTTAAATTCCAAAAATTGAGTCCAAATCGCCAAACATTACCCAAGAACCCAAACACAAATTAACCTTCCAAACCCCTAAACCCATTACCCATAAACCCAATTAAATCGAGACATCGGGGTTCTTTTCTTGAGATGGACTGCAAATGGGTTTCCAATTTGATGACTCTGTGATTGAATACATGACTGATTTCTTGGATAGAAGGAAAATTTTTGATGATTCTTGTTGGTAATATTAGTATAGTAATATTCTTGTTGGTTTGTGTAAGTTTGATCGATTTGAGACAGTCCTTGAACTTTTTCATGAAATGGGTTGAGTTGGTTTGGCGCCAACACCATTTGCCATTAATGTTCTTATTTGATTCAGGTTACTGGTGGTGGTTATGGCTGTTGACGGGAACAAGGACACAAGGCAGAGAGAGAGAGAGAGAGAGAGAGATGAAGGTGTGTTTTGTGTTTTTGACATGCATTTCTATACCGAATTACATGACTTGCGCGTGATATACACGGATGGTTAAAATTAATGAAAAATCTTATAGTGTAGTTTAGTCCAACAACCATAAGGGGATTAGGTGCCATTTTAGAACCCCAAGGAGGTAATGTGAAAATGGGTCAAACCACAAGGGGGAAAAATAAAGTTTTTCTTTAAATTTATTACATTCTATTTCATCGTTTGATTATATGAGAGTTTTTTGACCGGTTGTTTGAATTCAAATTCTAGTCTGTTACATATGATTTCATGTATTTGAATTGAAATTATTGGGTTCAAATTATATTTACGATGGAATTGAGTTACAATTTATTGAATTTTCGGGTACAACCTTTAAATTTAACATATTCAAATATAGACTATAGCCATTAAAAATATTTAATTTGTGTCGAAGCTTTCAATATCGAATTCATTGGTAGGACTTGACTTGAGTAGGGATAGAGATATCTCTGACACAAGTAAAAATATTTTAATTTGTGATGTTCACTAATGATGGTTGCATATGCAAAACAGGAAAAATTAGTATGAGTTGGATTGAAACGCGACCCAGGCTGATAATCACTCTCACATTTTACCATGAGAAATTACAGGTTAATCTTATCAAATCCAACCAATATATATGTATACTTGTTAAAATCTAGATTCAAATTTAAATTTCAATAGAAACTGAAAGATTTAATTGATTTTGAATATAGGTATGTATACCGGTGTGTTTTGTATCCCATAAAAACTTGCGGCGTTCAGTGCGATACATGAAATTTATAAGTTATCTTGCTAAAATGTAGATTCTCACTCTTCTTGTTTTTCTCTTTTGCTATCACAAAACATGTGTAGTTCAAGAATTATTAAAGTTTATATGAAATTGAAACTAAATCTTTTTTTTTTTTAAATTTTGAATGGGAGGGTGGTTATATTGGTCAAATGTTGATTCTTGATCGGAGAATACCTAACTTTATAATTAATTAAATGAAAATTCTAGAAATTAAGAAAAGTGGAAGAGAAGTCCTCTCTCATGAAAAATGATTATTTTATATATATTGATGGATTTGTTTTTCAAAATTTTACTCAAATATAAGTAAAAGCTGAAGCCATGATTGGAGATGGTCAATTGTCAAAAACTGTTTGAACTATGAAACCAACTTCAAGGAGAAGTATTAAGCCTCTGTGTGTGTTAATTAGCTCAGTTAATTACAAATTAAGTACAAGCACTACAATTCTAACCGGAGGTGCATGCCTGTTTATGCACTAATGCTATATATATGGATTCTTGTGATAAACAGGGGATGCTGCCAGCATTTTCAACCAGTTGTTGCAAATTGATTAATGAGTGGAAGAACTTGGTTGGTTCTCAAGGATCATTTGAACTGGATATTGAGCCTCAACTCCAATTTCTTTCATCCGACGTCATTTCTCGAGCAGCATTTGGAAGCAGCTATGAGGAAGGACAACAGATTTTTAAACTTCAAAAAGAGCAGGCGGTTCTGGCACTTGAAGCATATCACGCCATATACGTACCTGGGTTAAGGTGAATTAATGCCATTTCCAAACTTCAAGCAAAGTTTATTTATGGTAGAGAAGACAACCAAATGAAATGAACTGATTGCTTATATTGTTTGCAATGTTGTGAAGAATCTTTAGTATGAACCTGTAGCTTAAAAATAACTAAAATAGAAGGGGTGACACATGAACTAGCATGTATGTAGTTCGAGTCAAATGACTGTATAAAATCTAAGTTTAATTGATGCACATGGTTAGATGGTGATTGTGTGCATCCAATGTTTGCATTGCATTCGTGAGTCTAAAGGACACCTTGTTGGAACATTAAATTAAAATTTACCTTCCTATATGTGATTTGATTCAGTAATTTTATGAGTAATCTGTGAACCCATTGGTTTACGAGTAATCTATAAAGAATTTAATCTCATTTTAGAAATGCACACATAATCCCTTTAGTTTTGGATTAATTTATAACAACTAAGGGGTTAACAATTTCCCTTAATATTATTTTTTCCTAAAAATTTTACGTAGATTGAACAAATTTAGTAAATGCATATGAAGGGAAGAGGGGTGAAGAGATTGTTTATTCTAGAGGTCAAATAATAATAAAAAAAAAATATGTATAAGGGTATTTTACTACAAATATTGACTTTTGATATTAAATTGTTAACTTTAAAAGAATTTCTAATGGTTCCAATTTTGTCCAAAACTTTAGGGACTGTTTTGAAAGTATAGGGAACAAATGTGTTATTGGGTCAAACTACAAAATTTAAATAGAGCTATTTTCTGATCATCTCAATTTGGCCTTAATTCTTCATGCTTTACATAGGTTTTTACCAACTAAAAAGAACAGGAGGAGGTATCAGATAGACAATGAGATAAAAGCAATGTTAAGGGAAATGATCCAGCAGAAAGAAAAAGCCATGTCAAATGGGGAATCATGTGGGAGTGATCTGCTAGGCTTGCTTTTACAATGCAAAGAACAGATTGATAATGACTTGACAATTGAAGATGTAATAGAAGAATGCAAATTGTTCTACTTTGCTGGCCAAGAGACCACTGCTAACTGGCTTACATGGACTATGATCGTCTTCTCTATGCATCCAGACTGGCAAGAGAAGGCAAGAGAAGAGGTTCTACAGATCTGTGGGAAGAAAAGCCCTCAGCTTGACTCCATAAACCACCTCAAGATTGTAAGTACGTGTGAATTTAAATACATCGATCTGGTTTCCTTTTATTTATTTTTTCTCTTATAATGTTATGTGGACCTAATTTATTGATACATAATCATTCATGTATTATTGGTTGAAAGGGGACAAAGTACAATATTGGTTCTGTTTCACAAGCAATCCACAGATAGTATGGATCGAGTTAAATTAGGTTTATACTGTATTATTGATTTTTCCCATTCTGTTTTGGTTGCAATTCATCCTAATTCCTCAAGAGACGAGTTTTTTTTTTAATTTGGGTTCTCAAATGATACATATGCAAGAAAAAAGGGTTCATTTGCATTTTCTTCGGAAGCTTTAAAGACATAGTTGCCTCTTGCTAACATTTTTTTTTTGTCGAAAAAAAAAAATGTTGGCAAGATAGCAGTCTTGTCTAAAGACTCCGCTCAAGGGAGATACTCAAAAACATCTATCCACTATTTTGAATAGATAGTATTGGTGTTCTACCTTTTTCTTATCAATACAACACAGAAGGGGAGGTAACAACTTCTTTTCACATTCTGAAAGGCTTGAAATATCGTAGAGTGAAGTATATAAGAACCAAAACCCTCCTGAGAACCTGAGAGATTCGGCACAATCACTAGAACCCAATAAAAAAGCTTCTCTTTTTATACTTTTGCTTGACATTTGTTCTTCACATTAGGAGGGCTAAACATGCTTGTTAGAAGTACTACAACAACAAAATTGCTAAAAGTTGGTATGCCACACATTCCAAGGACTAGTAAGCACTTTGTAAATATAGGACATACGAAAGAAGTATTGTAAATAGTAGCATTGGCTTACATATTTCGTTTGCAGGTTTCAATGGTTCTACATGAGGTCATAAGGTTGTATCCTCCTCTGATGGGTTTAAATCGACACACTCTCCGGCAAAACGATATCGGTGGCTTGCGGATCCCTGCCGGGGTTGACATTTTCTTACCAATACTGCTATTACATCACAATCCTGAATACTGGGGCGACGATGTGGGAGAATTCAAACCAGAGAGATTCGCTGAAGGAGTTTCCAAGGCATCAAAAGATCAGCTTGCATTCTATCCATTTGGTTGGGGACCAAGAATCTGTTTGGGCCAAAGCTTTGCCATTATAGAAGCAAAGCTTGCTCTAGCCATGATTTTGCAACATTTTTCATTTGAGCTTTCTCCTTCATACACACATGCTCCCTATACTGTTATAACTCTTCAACCACAACATGGAGCTCCAATAATACTACACCAAATATAAGGTGTGCACTTGGAATAATGAATCTATGACTTCATAGGCTACATGCATTGTGTGACTGATTGCACGAAATTTCTGAAATAATTATTAGACAATAAAGGGGATGATTTTATGTTGTCTGGTATCATTGTAGTATGATATTCTTAACTTACAAAAAAAAAAGAAAAAAAATGATTTGATGTAATAATCATTGTCGTATGATATTCTTAATTCCCGTATATTTATTTCATTAAGACGCTATAATGACAATTACTGTTCTTTAGGATCCCTCAATGTCCATTTTTAGGTGATAGTTGGTAAAATTTTCAATTTTCATTTCTCAGAAAAAAAAAACAATAAACAAAAATGGAAGCTATTTCTGCCATGTTGTGATAAGTAAAGACAGAAATACTTGTTTGGTTTATGTTGTGAAAAAAAGGAAAATGGAATCAGAAAATCAATTACAAATATATTTATTATTTTTATAAATAGCTTGATCATCCTTTTCATTATTCCTCTAACAACACCTATGGCAAAAATTCAAAAGTAGTAGTACAATTATTAAAATAGAAACACAACACAGTTCATTATACTACAAACACAAATATTAGATGCTATTTTGCCACATTATCTAAATGAAATAATAACAAACAATATAAATAATAAGAAAAGGTAAAAATCATAGGTAACAATTATGTATCTTATTTGGTTTGTTCACTACAAGATTTTTTTTTTTGCCATGATTTTTTTCACAAATTATTTTTGAAGACGATTTTATTTCGTTGTGGCTTTGTCGTAATAGCCTTGTCGAGGAAAACATTTATTTTGTCGTCTTTTGGTAACACAAAATCAATGTTGCGAAAATTAAAAAACAAGTTGCTAAAAATATATCCTGATGTCGCTAAAAAAATTATATTAAATAATTTAATTAATTTTCAATGAAAAAAATATATTGTTGCAAATAAGATTAGATTAATCAAAATATAAATATATTTAGAGATCTAGGTTAGGGATGGAAGCTCTGAAGGTAGAAGAAGTGTTTTTCCACTTTGAAATCTTACAAGAGACTTAACCTAACTGTGGGAAAGGCTTTCCCTATTTATAAGTCCAAAAAAAGAGTGGTCTTAGTAAATAAGAAAACTCAGATCGGTGGGAGGATGGTCATAGAATAGTTGGCAATGGAATGAAAATCACGTTTACATCATATCTAGGAGCAACACCGCTCGAGTGACCATGAAGGACCGCTCGAGTGAGCTTTATGCTTTTTCCTTGTGGCCTTTTTTCTTGTGGCCTTTTTCCTTATAATTTCCTAAGTCATAAAGAGACCAATTTAGCCAAGGCTGGTGAGTATAGGTAGGTCCCTTCCGATTTTTGAAGCACAAAACTAAGCAAAAACTAGTTCACATGAGTAGTAATTGTGTTGTTCAAGAGATGTCCGATAATGACTCAATCTATATTTTTAAAATATGAAATTTTTTACAAATTTTTTTTTTTTGAAATCACCTAAGAGCCACATACAGATTGCTTCCAATTGCATTTTCATTCTAATTATCCAAAGTTAAAAGTAACTAATTGTTTATCTTATGTATCAAAGTCATTACCTTTGTCCTAAGTATGAAAATGCATATGGAGGTTGAATGATGTTACTTTAATGCATGATCTCGTCCCTTCAATGACACTTTCGGATTTTCAACGTCATAGAATCATGATTATAGAATAAGTTGAGATTTACAATGGACTTCACTAAATTGTCTAATTACAAATTGTGTTCTAACAGTATGTAATTTTATGCTTTTTATTAATTTGCACATTATTAGAGATTTAGACCTGTTTTGAAAAACTTTAGGATTTTGGGTAGTTTTTAAAATTGTTCTTATGTACTATGAGTTTTATCTAGTCAATAATACCATCTTTTAGAGTTTATGGATTCAAGTAGTTTTTGTATGTTCGATACACAAACAAATAATGATTTTTTTTTTGTCTCACTTACTGCTGCTTCAATTCGTATCAAAGACTTGACTTAGTTGACATGATTGATGATGCACAGAATTTAACTTGCCATGATTTCCATTATTTTTAGGTTCGGACACTACTTAAAAAAAATGAACTTTCTAAATTTGACCAACCTTAACTTAGTACTTGAATGTCGAATTCACAAATGTGATATATTCTTTCCATGAGGAATTTCATTCACATATATTATAGTGTATTAGTCACCTCTATCAAGTTGAGATACCAGTTTAATTGGATAAAGCATTCTAACTTTTTACTAGCATTACGTTCATAACCGGATATTGCATTAACATGGCTGATACATAATTTCATGTAGAATTTTATTCTCCTCGCACTAATTATGGTGGTCCATGCTCTACAACACTAATTAGTCACCTCTTTAGGTTGGGCTCTAGTTTAATCAAATTGAGCTTTCTAACTTTGACCAAACTTAATTTCATACCTGAATGCCATATTCGCATATGTGATATAATTTTTTTATTTCATTCTTCATGCACTAATTATGATTTTCCATGCTTTACAACACTATAAGCTTAGGACACTATGAGAGTGTGTTTGGATCATCTTGACATGATTACAAACGTGAAGTGTAGCTTAGGTTGATTACATCCATAATATATTTGCATAGGTCTTTTTTCACTCGTTAAAGAATATTTGCCCAATTAGATCTAATTACCTCAATTACAAATTTATTAATCAATTTTAGTTCAATTAACCCCTCAATTATAAACTCTTAAGTGAATGGATGGATGCAAGAATACCAAATTCAATAATCAATCATAATTCAAATCCACCATCCTTATCCCTTCAATGCCATTCCACGGATTTCAACCAATCAAAAGATGATAATATGAAGTAGATCAATCAAACAAACAAATTATCAAACACTTAGTGTGTGAGCAATTTCAGGTGATGTGTAAAGTAAAGAAATCATCAATAACCACAACACACCGCAATTTAATGTAGACACTGATATGAGAGAAAATTAATTACTGTGATAGGAAAGCTCTAGCAATGCCATACCTTTTAAAAATATTACCGTTGACAGATCTATTGAGCTCTAGCAGTATTGGGAAAGCTTGGAGCAAGCCCAATTCTACTAATCATGTTTTCCCCTACCTAGCAAGAGCGTGAAAGAGATTCTATGGATCACGTTATCTAAAATTTAAAAGTCAAAAGATCCTCAAGTCATGGTCTGCAACACGCTTACCAGAGATAAACAGTTGAAAGGCAAAAATCCCTCAATTCAAAGGAGTCTTCGCCTTTCTAACAAGTCTATTTGGGATTCAAAAGACTCCCCCATGAGGAGGATTCCTTCCTGCCACTCAAGAAGATAGACTCCAGCCAAAAAGAGAGTCATTAAAAGATAAAGGAGGTTAGACTCCTCAAATAAGAGGAGACTTATCCTCCTAGAATAAACGCAGGAGCCTAGAGTCCACTTCTCACTAACTATCCATTAAACACACTATAAAAGGGAGCCTTGAGGAAAACAAAAGGTATAAAATATCAGTCCTTGCACATACCTACAAATCCCTTCCAACAAACACTAAATTGAGCATTGGAGGGTTGATCCAGGAGCCCCCCCTCCCATCTTCGACTTCCCATTCAGGTCTTCCAGCTTGTGGCATCCTTAGTTGAAGTTTCAGAGAGCTGAATCAACACTATGTGTCCTATTCAAACCACTTGGAAGTGTGATAAAGAGCAAAGAAACCAGTTCATCAACTAGCATAAAGGTTGGGTAGATTTCTGCACCAACAATTTGGCACAGTCTATGGGAAAAAATTGAATATCTCCAGTGTTTTCTATGATCCTCTAAAAGAAAATTGTGGATGTTGATTACTAGATCAATGGATGTGTCCATAGATGATCCCCCAAAATAGAAAAATTTGTAAGAAGTAAACAAAGGAGAAAACTATGACTGAGAACCCCCCATGAGCAATAAACGACAAGAGGCTCAAAGGGTACTCAATTTGGAGAGGTACAATGATAGACTGAACCAAACCATTGAAGGCCTGGCTCAACAAACTCAATAAATCCTTCAAGCCCTTGCTGGCCAACATCAACACTAGCTATAACAAGTCTCTCACTTAGAAGAAACCCTACAAAACCCTTAAAAAGATGTAGGGGACGAAAATATTCAGAATGACTTCACCAGCAATAGGAGAATGCATGTCTGGATCCAAAATTCAAGGAAGTCAATGATCGAATTGGTGATTTCCTTAACACTACCATAGCCAGAACTCCAAAAACAACGGAAACTCTGGTCGAACGCCTAGATTCTCTATTCTCACAAGATGTCACACACTATTCATTACCATCAAAATTTAAGTTGCCTTTAATAGATAGTTTTGATGGAAAGATGGATCCTTTGGATTATTTGGAAACCTATAAGTCTTTGATGCTACTTTATAATGTTTTAGATCATATCATGTGTAGAGCATTCCCTACCACCCTCAAGGGAACAACTCGCCTTTGGTTTAATAGACTCCTCCTGGGGTCTATTGGGTCTTTTGTGGAACTCAATAGATATTTTCATTTTCACTTTATCGGAGGAAGAACACAGAGAAAGCCTGTCACCTATCTCTTGAATCCCAAGCAGACAAAGGGAGAATCACTTCCACAGTTCATAGCAACGTTCACAGAAGAGTCTTTATAGATAAACAATATTCGAAAAAAGTACCCTAGAAAGGCCCACCTATCACTTTCACAGATGAAGACCTTAAAGGGATTGGCTTCCTTCATGATGACCTCCTAGTAATTTCTATTGTTGCTTCAAACCATACTATGCGAAGGGTTCTAATCAACAATTACAACTCAACAAATATAATCTTTACCAATGCCTTTGATCAACTGGATATTGGAAGGAGCAATCTTTGGTCAATTAGAGCACCCATAGTTGGATTTTAGGGAGTCCAAGCCTATCCATTGGGAGCAATATCCATCCCAATCACCATGGGAAAACCTCCCCACTAGGTTACCCACTTGATGAATTTCTTGGTAATGGATTGTCC